GGTTACCTAGTTTTAATGTAACGAATAGGAGGAGGTCCCTATCAGGCTCTGAATCTCAGCTTCCAATCTGGCCAAATTTCTGGTCATCATCACAAAATCCTTTCGTGTGTCTGGTCGGACTTCAGCCAGGACGAACGGTAAATATTTCTGGCAGTATTACACAGGTTGAGGTGCAGAGGTTGTTACTTCCCAGAGTCATTCCCTCCGATAGCTCAAAGAAAGAACTGATGGCGGCTTATCTCCGGCCGGCAGTCAGCCACACCAAGCCCCGGGGACCCAAGCAGCAGCCATCCCCGGGAGGAAAGTGCAAATAAAAACCAAGAGCACTCAGACCAAATAATGAACAGTCACTGTGCCCAAAGAACTAGGTTCACAAATATTTCTCCTTATCTACATGTAGAAAAGGAGCCTTGCCTCTCGGCCTCCCCTGCGCTCTGCAGGTAGACACCCAAGAGTTTGACGTGGCAAGAATTCTTATGGTTTTTTGCCAGCTCATGCTAGTGGTCCCTGGACCATCCTGCTGCAGCTTCAGGATGAGCAGTGCCCAGCCGGTGAGGTGTCCTGCTCACAGGAAGAAGGTGTGACCCGGATACTCTCCCGATGAACAAGAACGAGTCATCTTTTTGTTTTGTTAAATATATATTTTATTTATTTTTTACAGAGAGGAAGGGAGAGGGATAGAGAGTTAGAAACATCGATGAGAGAGAAACATCGATCAGCTGCCTCCTGCACGTCCCCTACTGGGGATGTGCCCGCAACCAAGGCACATGCCCTTGACCAGAATTGAACCTGGGACCCTTCAGTCCACAGGCCGACGCTCTATCCACTGAGCCAAACCGGTTAGGGCAAGAACGAGTCATCTTGATGGCAAAGAATTGAAAACGGCTCTCGTGAGTTTTCCTCCTTCTCTTTCTTTTCTTTTTTTTAAATATATTTTTTATTGATTAAGATATTACATATGTGTCCTTGTCCCCACGTTACCCTCTCCCCCCCGTCCCCCGCTCATGCCCTCACCCCCCCATTGTCCGTGTCCATTGGTTAGGTCTATATGCCTGCATGTAAGTCCTTTGGTTGATCTTTCTCC